CACTGATTGCTGGACTCCATTCCCAGACCTTGATTCTTTAATTGGAGCCCCAGAATTGGTTTTTATAACAAATTCCCAGGTGATGTTGATGCTGCAGGTCTAGGGACCACACTTAAGGATCACTGCCGGCTGGGCACAGTGGCTCAAGCCTGTAATCCCAGCACTTTGGGAGTCCAAGGCAAGTGGATTGACTGAGCCCGCGGGTTCAAGACCAGACCTCATCTGTACAATAAATTAAAAATTAGCCAGGCGTGGTAGCGCACGCCTGTAGTTCCAACTACCTGGAAGGCTGAGGCAGAAGTATCACCTGTGCGACAAAGTAAGACTCCAACTCAAAAAAAAAGAAAGAAAGCATGATAAAGGTATTGATTACATTTTTTTAAGGGAGGCTCTATCTCTTCTAAAAGTTTTAGAGAGGAAATGATATGATTTACTACTGAATTTGCTTCCTGAGGGAGGGAATAAATAAAATAAGATTGAACACTGAGTACATGGGAGCTCACTACATACCAGAATTTCTCACCTCTGGTACTAACATTTTAGGCCAGTATTTGTTTTATAGAGCTGCTCTGTGTATTGTAAAATGTTTAGCAACATTCCTGCTCAGCAGCAAATCCTCCCTCCAGTTCTGACAACCAAAAATGTCTCTAAATATTGTCAAATGTTCACTGGGGGGCAAAATGATACCTGGTTGAGAAGTACTGATAAATGTCATTCTCTCTACTTATTTGTTTAAAATTCCCCATAACAAAACTTTTTTTAGTTTTAGCTATGGCCAGGCACAGTGAGGCTCATTTCTATAATGCCAGTACTTTGGGAGGTTGAGGTGAGAGGATTGCCTAAGCCCAAGGGTTCAGTACCAGCCTGGGTAACTTGGCGAGACCTCATCTCTATAACAAATCAAAAAAATCAGTCCGGCATGGTGGTGCATGTCTGTAGTTCCAGCTACCTGGAAAGCTGAGACAGAAGGATCACCTGATACCAGCAGGTCAAGGCTGCAGTTGCTGTGAGCATGCCACTGCACTCCAGCCTGGGCGACACAATGAGCCTCCAACTCAAAAGATAAAAATAAAATCTAAATAAATATTCCTAGGATAAGCAAAATGAGAAGTCTTTTTACAAAATAGAAAAACAAAGCAGTTCCACTCCACTCTTCACAGCCAAAAATGCCCATCAAGTGGTGAATGTATGAGAAAAAAATTGTAATACATCCAAACAATGAAATACCATTCAGCAGTAAAAAGAAATGAACTACTGATACACATAAAAACGCAAACAGACCAGGTGTGGTGGCTCAGCCTGTAATCCCAGCACTTTGTGAGGCCCAGGCGAGTGGACTGCCCGAGCCTGCGGGTTCGAGACCAGTCTGGGAAACTTGGTGAGACCTCGTCCCTACAATAAATAAAAAATTAGCCAGGCAGGGTAGCGCACACCTGTAGTTTTGGCTACTTGGAAGGCTAAGGCAGAGGATCACCAGAGCCCAGCAGGTTGACACTGGGGTGGCCTTGAGTGTGCCACTGCACTCCAGCCTGGGCGATGGAGTGAGACACCAACTACAAAAAAAAAAAAAGCAAACAAATCTCAAAAGCGTTATGCTAAGTGAAAGAAGTCAGATGGGTACAAAAGACTATATACTCTATTTTGTCCTATTTACATAACACTCTAGAAAAGGTGAAACTACAGGGACAGAAAACAGATCAGTGATTGCCAGGGGCTGTGGAAGAGAGAAGGTACTGACTGGAGACGGTCACAAAGGACCTCTCTGGCAATGGAAATGTTCTACATCTTGATTGTGATGGTGGTTACATGTCATACACTTGTCAAAACTCACTAAAACTGTGTACTTTAAACAGGTGACTATCTCAATAAATCTTACTTTAATAAAACAGCTTCACAATAGACTGAGTTCTCACTCATTCCTGTACACTCGCCACTCAACTGACAGGAAGTCTAATACTTAACAGTACAGCAATGATAGGCAAATAAAAGGGTATACATCTAAGACATAACACTAAGGCCAAGGGCACCATACTGTGAAAGATACACAGCTACCTCCAGAACAAGCCAATACAAGAGGTGAAAATGAAACAGGGCATAGTGAATTAACTGAAGTTTGATGTGGGACAAACTTCTGATTTTAAACACTGTCAGCAGGGCTCAGTGGCTCAGCCTGTAATCCCGTGCCTTTGAGAGGCTGAGGTGAGTGGATTGCCTAAGCCTGCGGGTTCGAGACCCGCCTGGGCAACTTGGCGAGACCTCATCTCTACAATAAATTAAAAAATTAGCCGGGCGTGGTAGCACACACCTGTAGTTCCAGCTACTTGGAAAGCTGAGGTGGAAGGATCGCTGGAGCCCAGCAGGTCAAGGCTGCGGTGGCCAGGAGCGGCCACTGCACTCCAGTCTGGGTGACAGAGTGAGACTCCAACTCAAAAAAAAATAAACAAAGACTGTCAAAAATTCAATTTTAAGTACATTACATGAAAATAAAGAAAAAGCAGGAAAATCCTTTCAGGTCCCCTCCCACTGTGGGAGCTTTTCTGCCTTTTCCATAAATCCTGCTTTCTTAAAAAAAGAAAAAAAAAAAAGCATACACATACCTCCATGCTCTGGGTTGTTTTAAAGATTAAAGTAATTTCTAATGACACACAAAAATAATTACAAAATAATTCAACCAATTATTCAAAGAACAAGTGCACAGGCAAGGATAGCCAATAACCACAAATATTCACAGCCTAATCCATACAGTCCTGAGTGAAAACAGATCATTACTTCTCTTAACATCCCTCATTAAAATATATATTGAAGCCGGGCTCAGTGGCTCAGCCTGTAATCACGTGCCTTTGGGAGGCTGAGGTGAGTGGATTGCCTGAGCCCGCGGGTTCAAGACCCGCCTGGGCAGCGAGACCTCATCTCTACAATAAATCAAAAAAAAATCAGCCAGGCTTGGTAGCGAGCACCTGTAGTTCCAGCTACTTGGAAGGCTGAGGTGGAAGGATCACCCAAGACCAGCAGGCCAAGGCTGCGGTGGCCGGGAGCGGCCACTGCACTCCAGTCTAGGCGACAGAGTGAGACTCCAACTCAAAAAAAAACTATATATATATAGTTTATATATATATATAAAGAAGACCCATTTGAAATCCTTCACTATCACAAATCTGCTATGATAGTTTTAGGAGAGTTTAGAAAGAATGGAGCCTCTGCTCTGGATCAATGTAAGGTTTTGCTTCTCTGAGTGAAGATCAGTGATCACAGCTAATCAACTCACCTCTTTTGCTTGCCCATAATCAAAAACAAAAACAAAAACAAAACAGGAAAATGATCAAGTCAGGAATAAGTTTCACCAAAAGGACTCTAAGAATATTAGTTCACTGACTCACCTAGTCTAAGATCTTCTATTACTCACTCTTTATGTAAATTTCTAATCCTTCTCAGGTGGAGGAAACATAAACCACTGAACTGGGTTTAAGAACATTAAATACTATACATCAATCTACTATAGGGATGCTTTAGACTGAGGTTTGCATAAACAGATTAAATTACCTGACAGCTATCCAGCAAACAAGTGACATTCTGAAGATTAAAATGAAGGCATTTGATACCACTAGGCCACAATGTCTCAGGACGTTACTGAAAGCATGGAACCATACAGAGCAAGTTTTTCCTAGGAGATGGCATTTTCTTGCCAGCAATTACCTTATTCACTATTTTAAAGGGGCAATGAAGTTTCTCTATAAGTTGTTTACGGTAAGTTTTACAGAAGATAGCCAACAACTGGACAGGAACACTTTTGAACCCAGTCCTAGAGAAGAGTTCAGAAAACACTTGGACAGTCAAACATTTTTTCAATGGAATTTTTTTTTTTTTTTTTTTTTTTTGAGTTGGAGTCTCACCCTGTCGCCCAGACTCTGGAGTGCAGTGGCCGCTCTCGGCCACCGCAGCCTCGACCTGCTGGGCTCCGGCGATCCTTCCGCCTCAGCCTCCCAAGTAGCCGGAATTACAGGCATGCGCTACCACGCCCGACTGATTTTTTGATTTATGGTAGAGATGAGGTCTCGCTGCCCAGGCGGGTCTCGAACCCGCGGGCTCAGGCCATCCACTCACCTCAGCCTCCCAAAGGCGTGGGATTACAGGCTGAGCCACCGAGCTCGGCTCAATGGAATTTTTTAGTTGTCAATCCCTAGGTGGAATTACAAGTTGTCATTCCCTAGCGAAGCTGTACCTGGCATTTTTTTTAAAGGTTCACATAAACAAAATGAAAGGTTCCTTTTATAAAAATCATAGGATGTGAGCGCTAGAAGGGACCGAAGATCTCATCTAACTAAGCCAACATCTTTCTAGGAAGGAGGAAAGCAGAAACCCCCAGCAGGTGTCCCTCAACCAGGCAGAGCAGAGCCTACATCTGCTTTTCAAGATGCTTAACCACCTCCTTCACAACAGATTTGTATGGAAAAGAAGCTATTCCTTTCAAAAGGCTGCAACCACATGTCTTGGGGTTCCTAAGGAGACCGCAAAGATCCCTCGGTGGCATTTAGTTTTAGCGACGGTCAGTCAATTTGGTTCCAGACCATTTTAAGGAACGAGGTATAGAAGACAGTCCACTTGACCCAACCGATTGCTCTCAACCAGCACCAAGAACATATATTCTTAACCTGACAGCCTACGACCAATTTAAAAGGAAAATGTGGTTAAAATAAGCACTGACTACTGGACAGCCCACTGCCCGGCAACCTGGCCTCTCAAGGCATCGATCTGTAACGCTCCAACTTACGGGCTTCATTAACAAATAAGATCGCCAGCATAATCAATGTACTCCGCAGACCCGCAGGGGAGCGGCGGGACAGGGCTGGCTTCTGGAGGAACGGGCCGCCCAGATGCCTCTCGGGTGACTCCAGGCTGCCCTCTCTACTTCCAGAGCGTTCTGGCTGGGGGGAAACACCCGACTGCCAGACAAGAGCCCCGGGACAACTACGACCGCCAACGAGGACGCCCGGGTTACTTACATTTTCAGTGTCTCGTTCATTCACCGTTGGCAATGGGGTCCTAGTGGACATTTTACTGCACTTTAATTCTGCACAAGGCGAAGGTGGAAACAAAACAGCAGCCCTGGGAGGCCAGCGAGCAACGTCCTCGAGTCCCTTGCAGTTCTGGAGCCGCGCCACGGGGAGGGCGGTTCCCCTCCCCCTACGGCCGTCTAGATCCCGGGCCT